AGTCAACTATTTACAACATAAGAGCCTTGAGTCTAATTTCCGTATTGGTGTTTTTTGTTGTTGTTGTTTTCCACTTAGCTGCATGTTTCTTACCTCTATCGTGTCCTGGAGATGCTCAGTTGGGTGTAAATGATGTGCTCTGCCGGTCCCGTCCTCCCCTCCCCTTCTGTTTCTTACAAAGCTAGCAAGCATGTTAATCAGATGATCACGTTGAGGACACGCTGTTGCAAATTTACATATCATTGTTTTATTAACTTCTTCTCCTGTTCCACACAAAGAAGGGGCTTTGCTGACAAGAGCTGGATCTCATTTCCTCCAGAGTTCTCTTGCGTTGAACCACTGCTTATTTATATCTGTATGTTTTAAATATATATGAGCCTCACTGAGAGGTTAAGCCAGTGTCAGTGGGTGAAAAATGTGGAATATTGGGTCCATTTCATCACTGAAGGCTCCACAAGTAAGACTGAATTAGCATACATATACAGTACTTTAACTTTCTTTGCTGTACTGTTATAAAGCTCTCTGTAGAATGTATGACATTAAAATAGACCTATCCTTAAAAACAAATCAGGATGGTACACTCAAGGGAGGAAAGTACCATGGGTAGATTTTACTTTTAAATTTCACCTTAATCAGCTTACCGCGGTTCTAGACTCATATCAATCCTGTGGCTTGTTCCTGCTTGACTCAATGAATGCCTAGTAAAAGATCATTGAAAGCCAACTTAATATAAGTGGCACGCTCAAAATCTGTGCTAGACCTTACAGTGGAGCATACACAGGTTTGTGCCTGTAATGAGGCAGCCTAAAGCTGGCCATACACCTATAGATTATCTGCAGATTTTCTATGGTCAGATGGGAAAAAGTGCAACAGATTCCTCCATCTACACTAAACTGTGTGGGTGGAGGAATCTCCCACTGGGCCAAGCTTCAGTATCTTGTTAGTCCGCCCCGCTGGCTCTCAAAATACCTGAACAATGCCTGCATCCAATCAGATTGTTGAGGTATTTTGACAGCCAGCGAGGCCCACTAGCAAGATACTGAAGCTTGGCCCAGTGGGAGATTGCTCCATCCAAACAGTTTAGCATAGGTGGAGGAATCTGTTGCACTTTTTCCATCTGACCATAGAAAATCTGCAGATAATCTATAGGTGTGTGGCCAGCTTTAGTCTGTTGCCTCAGGCGGCATCTCTTTGGGTGGCAGGCAGAGCACATAAACATCTCCCTGCCCAGCTCTTAGCAACCTAGGATGCTTTGGCCAGCGTCCCACTTAGCTCCTGGCATCGAGTGATGTCACTGGTTGCCAGGAGCTGAGTCAGGATGCCGGCCAGAGCTGGGCGGATAGATGATGCAGAGGCCACGCGCCCCGATCCCTCCTCAGGCAGCGAAAAGGTGAGGGATTCCCCTTAACATCAGGGAACTTGCAGTGAGCAGCCCATGGTATAAAGACCTTGCGAGTGAGAGCTATTTATACCTTTAGCTTCTTTGACCCCCAATCCTGCATCAATTAGCTAGGAAACTGGATAATTTTGTTTATGCAGAATTTCTTCAAAATATGTTATTGTCAAGTCCACTTTCTTGTAAAAAATTATAAAAAAAACCTTCCTGGACACTGCTTCTGTTTTGGCTTTTATTTTGGTTATACTTGTATATTATGTTATACATGCTTTTATTCATGATCAGCACTGATAATAAATACAGCTACTCAGACTAACACATTTAGATTAAGAAAGATAGGGAAGCACTGAAGTAAATTCATTTCCAAAAAAGGAGACTTATTGGCGGAGCTTCACGAGCTGAAATCAGCTGAAATTCAGCTGGGGGCGAAAGTAAGGGACTTGGAAGAGAAACGGGAAGTTACTACTCAGACTACACACACTATTGGAAAAGACAAATCAGCATGGACATAAAAATGAGGCCCTGGTAAATCAGGGAGGGGGGCACAGCAAGCGGTGGGTGCACCCACCCACTGCTTGCTGGGCCCTCCTCCCAGAATGGAGGAGAGAGCTAGGGGATCCAACCAACTAATCGATAATAGGAACAATTGATAACTATTCTCATCGATTAGTTGGTTGCAGCCCTACATGCAATACAGCCAGAAAGTACATGGCCTACGGTGATAAAATTTAAATCCAAAACCCTAAGTGCCTGTTCACACGATGTCCGTTTTGTGTGCTGACCTGATCCGTATGCTCGTGCACTCAAAATGCATCCCAATGTATCCCTATGTGTTTTTTTTTGAGCATGTACATTTTTATTGGGTTACAACAAGAAATAAGGTCATACAGACAACCTGAATCACTCAGGAATACAGGAGTGTTTACAGTGGTAAATACATGAGATTACATTGTCATAATTACATACATGATCCTGGATCATAAGGTGCATATGATACAGGGTAACTATTAGAATAACATGTAATACCAGCATCAAAGCTCAACAGAGCCAAACTAACCAATGAATCGAGGTTGTATAAATATGCAGATTTGTCCAAAAGAAGAGTTGGGGTGTACCTTGGGCTGGGATTTCTTCGCTTAGTGTGGCATTGTATAGTGGAGATTTTAAAAAAGCAAAATTACCAGTATAGCGAGTTTACACTCAGGATCATGGAGTGCTTATTGCACGGGCCTACCAAGATTGAGCGACGAGGGTCATATGGGAAATGGTTCATGTGGGAAGTGTGTTGGGGGGGATGTTAAAGGACATCTAGGGGACCCAGGGAGCCGTTCATATCCCTATGTGTTTTATGGGCTACAGTTCTCACGTGCGCAGTCCGTTCAAGTTAAAATACTGCATGTCACATTTTGTACGGTCAGGAAACGCAAACGCGTCAAAAACACACTGCACTGCAGCTAACTTAATAACAGCCCCACTCTAGCAAAAAAAATAATAATTTTTTTTTTAACTGGAACGCATCAAAAACGTGGCCAAAACGCACTGCATCAGTAGCACCGCGTCTGCAGATCCGGACCTGATCAGGACCTGAAACTCATGTGAACAGCCCCTAGGGGCTGTCACCTTAAAAAAAAAAAAAAGGGCCTGCGTGCCTTCGAAATGTCGGTGGTTTGGGGTTTTTTTTGCACATGTAATTTTTGCTTTCAACCCCCGTAAACATGTTAGGCCTTATCTGCTTTATGCCCAATTTTATAAGAGCGGGGGATCCCATGCATCCTCTTTTGTTGAACTCTTGGCTACTTGCTGTGTTATATTCATCCACCGGTATACATCATTGTTCTGTATAACAGAGATTGTGGTGGTACAATCACTTTGTGGACACTAAAAATAAGGTTATGCAGTATTTATTGGCTAAGAAGATGTCATCTAAATGTCCATAAGGATCATGAACACAGGAGTCGATTTTAGTGAATATTTATAGTTAATGTTGGCTGGAAGGGAAAGGGTCACATCCCATGTAACGTTTTAATTGCTGTCTGTTTCCCCCCCTTTTTTTTAAGCTGACCACTGTCATTGGAGCTAAAAGTTAAGGAGAATCCAACATTTTAAACTTTTGCCAGAACAGGATTAAATGGAAAATTCTCCTAATGGAGATGCTTTTTCTAGTGACTTACTGTCAGTGCAAATCTCTTCAAATGAGGAAAATCCTGCTGTGTCTGTAGGACAGGAAATGAAAAGAAATCTTCCCAATGGGACAGAGATGGCAAAAAAGAAAACTGGGCAGGTGTTAACCATTCCCTACTCTATACAAAAAAACAAACAAACCTGCCACCACTTGTAATAAAACATGATTACTACAATGTGTGGTAGCACCTGCCGCAGTCACATCCCCATTCCTGCACCCATCCTTCCCAGATAAGTTGCTTATCCCTGGTTATACTCTTCTACACTGTTAAGGTGCCCATACACTGCACGATTATCGTACGATAATCGTATGCGATCGGTTTTTCGTACGATAATCGAGCAGTGTGAACGGAGACGTGCGACCGTTTCTACTGTACGGTCGCACGTCTTCTGTCGAACCAGCATGTTCGAAAACCAGCCAGGAATCGTACGATTCTCGGCTGGTTAGAACGGTGCTCGGAAGATAAATGCTGAACGGGCCGGTGTGCGCACGCGCACACTGCCCGTTTAGCATTGCGGTCATCGGAAGCCCGCCCCTCAGGGGGGCGGGCTTGCGATGATCGAGAGTGCGATCTGCCTGTCCAAGATAGGCAGATCGTACGTTTTTTTAATCCCTTTACAACCATCGCAAGACTAAAGTCTTGCGATGGTTGTAGAGTGTATGGCCACCTTTAGACAAGATAACTTTACAGAGGAAGAGTGGTCTGTATACAAATCTATATAAACCATTTTTCCCAGGCTGTGCATTATCGGACTGCACTGTGGGGACGGAAGGGTGGGGGGTGTCCCAGTGTTTGCAGTCACATAATGGAAAAAAAAAAAAATTATAATTCTGGCACCTTACTGTTAGTCTAACTTGTCATGTAGTATGAATGCTTGTATATTAGTGGTGTCAGTTGCACTTTAATACACACACATTGTGGTTATACTTACTGTAGTGCAAGGGAGCAGAGCAAAGGCATCTGCCAGCTAAACACATGCAGCTACATCTGACAGGCTTAGGGTAAGACCAGCTTATGAATGGCTGATATCATAAGCTGTGAAACACATTATACTATACAGTGTCCTGCTCCTAAGAATAGCAGTTTTGTCCGTTGTTCAAAATTAACAGCAGCTAATCCCGTTTTTCTAAATAAGTCTCCTGCATTTCATATTTAAACAGTGATGCCAAAAAAGTGATTAATTGGTGCATCAGCTATGGAAGCAGCCCAGGAGCTGCTGTCGCTCACCGCTTAATTAGTTATGAGTGGAACATAAAGCTGGATAAGTTCTACTTTATGTAATATGGTTATTGTGCACATGCATTAGAGAAATGTGCACATTAGACAGTGTTACATGGATGAATACTGTCTTTATGACAAGAGCACAGTGTGCAGTAAAGCATGACTGCATCCATTAAATTCCCTTTTTGCTGTTTTTTCAGATGAGAGTTATTACCAAGGTGGCAAGTTCCAGTTTGAAGTTGAGGTTCCAGAAGCCTATAACATGGTGGTAAGTGTGTCAGTGATGTTATTTTATCTTCTTTCTCGCCGGCTGCTTAAAGTGTAAGTCACCACATGACCTACTAGCCATTTGGCTAATCGGGAATGCTGAAACGTTTTAGCTCTGTGGCAGTGAAAGAACTGCAGGCTTACTACTTATACTCTAGATATTAAAAAAAAACAATCTTTCAGGGCCTCCTCTTAGCCAGCTCTGCGTTCCCACAGTGCCGCGTCCACCAACTATGCTATAGTGGTGGGTGCCAAACCACCCATCCCCAACCTTGTGTGTTCAAAAGGTTAGAAAAACAGAACCAAAATAGAAAAGGCTATGTAAATCTGCGTGACACTGATAATTTGGGAATTAGATCATCTATGCTATTTGAGACACTACAAAATAAATTTGTATGTGACTAGAGTGCACTCAATCTTTCCATTGCTCTAGGGGTTGTTAGGGCATACATTTACAAAATGTCCCAGCAGGTTCTTGTGCGAGACAGCAGAAATGCACTTTGTGTCTAAAATTGCCACATAGAATAACAACATGGTTAGTTCAGAAACACTGCCACCCTTTATGGGAAAAAAAGAAAACGTTTTATATAATCAGTGTTTCTGTTTCCCAGGTATATTAACACACAATTTTAATGTAAGATCAACTACTACTACTCCCCTAGTCACACCTGAATTATTTTGAACAAAGCTTAGGTGAAACTTGGCTTCTATGATGCAGTAATCCCCACTGTACTACTCTAACTGCATAAACTATGCTTTTGGTGACTAGGATGCGTTGAAGTGGTGGGCTCATATTCACAGCTTCTGGGGGGTGTCCGGTATTTAGTTGATGCATATTATTATCTTAAAGCTAAACTCATTCTGGTAGTCCCATGTACAGCAGGATTAAGACATAAAAGTTGTGTCACGCAGCCAGATTCTAATGCAGCCCTTCTCATCTGAATAGTTCTGGTGCATATGTCACATGGCAGAGCCAGTGGAGTGTGAGCTGTGGAGTTTCTCCTTTTCTCTCTCTCTAATAAGTAACCCCTCACTTTAAAGAACTTGTAGGCTGCATGTAAGGGGGGCATTCTTCCCTCTCACTGCCAATGTGATGGGAGATGCTTCTGACCACCTATGTAAGGGTTGCCTGCTCCCACTAAATACCAATAGAAGGATACACTTTGTCTAGTCTTGTTCAGCTTCAACTACACACACTGCAAAAAAAGGTTCAGTGAAAGTGGTAATGCAGAGAGAGGCAACCTTGGCACTCCAGCTGTTGTGGAACTACACAACCCATGAGGCACTGCAAGACTGACAGCCGGAGGCATGACTCTTAGTCATCTTTTTATTTTCATCACAGGTGGAGGGACAGGGTTGTTACCCTTGTGTTAATGCTTCATATTTACCTATTCTAGCAGACCATTAATTTAAAGAGGCAATGTTAATTTTCCCCATGCTCATGTCTAAGCGACCAATCACTAGGTCTAAACACTCAAACTTTGGAGGGATGTCACATCACCCCTGTCTAAGCGCCCTGGTACTAGTCCATGCCAGAGCTTAGACGATGATGCTGACATGAGGAGGTGGCGAGGGAGCGTGGCTGGGTTAGTAAAATTACCTGACGGGGGTGGGGGGGAGGATGGGCGCTATGCCCAGAATGAGCAAAATGAGTGCATCTCTTTAAACAATATACTGTTTTCAATTTATTTTAAGCTATTTCAAATGCTGATTAAATCACTTACAATGAATGCTGCTTCTTGAGGTTTCAAAGTTTGTTTTCTGCAGAATCAGCTGATCCCCTAAGAACTGGTCCTGACTTCCTGTTCTAGGGTGGCTCCTTTCTCAAGCAGAGTGCTATGCAGTTACCCTTGTGTGTGCTAGTAAGCTGTATGTGTCTCCACAGACACAGCAAATCAAGCTACTCACCTCTCTCCTGGCCCCCTCTCCTTCCTCCTCGCACTCAAGCTAGTAGATGAACAGTTGCTGGAGACTGCACTTTCCTAGTGATTAGTACTGGATAGGAAATTCAGGGGAGCTTAGAGATTTGTAACCAACTGTTGAGAAACATAATTGTAAGTGTCTGGGCAAATATGTAAAGCAATACTTTGCTGGGCAACATATATTTGTTTGATCTGAATTCATTATTGGAAAAAAAAGTTTGAGAGTTTAATACCATTTTAAGAGCTAAATATTCATAGGCTACAACTAGTTAATGTACTTTTTCCTTTGAACATTTAGTTCATGTTAGTTTGTCTTTAACATAGTGTCTGGTTTTGTGATTTCTTCTGTCAGTACTATAGGAAAGCACCCTGTGTTTATTTCACAGCAATTCTGACAAGTTGTAATGAAATTCTTCCTCTTCTTTTTTTTGACCATCTGCCAAAACAAATCCTTGCTGGCTGACCCATAAGCTTGACAAAAAATGACTTTGCTTGATGTGTTGTGCATATCTCATTTTCTGTGTACACTTAACTGTTCAGGAAAACTCATTGAGATTCCTGCCAGCATTAAGAAACGGAGCGGTTCACACTCCAATGTTGGCTCTGAAGTGCATTAGTAAGCGAATAGGAAGAATATTGGGGGTGCCACATCCTAATTTAAGCATAACTTAGAACATACACAGTGATGAACTTTTAAGGCACCCACAAGAACGGCTTCATTAAAATATAACAAACTTTTATTGAACAAAATCAATTAGTCCTTTCAAAGAGAAATATAAAACCCACGTAAATATCAACTAATTCCTATAAATAGCTTCCTTGCCTCTCATATTCTCCCATCTCAATACACCCGTTTAATCAACACACCAGCATTATGGTACATTGACTATCAAACATTTACATTTATTATTGGTATAACTTGTTTAAGGATTTACAGAGGGATTTTGCTCAGCTTGTTTCACAGCCAATGCTACTTCTTCAGGAGAAAATTAAGGCAGGGCTTAAAATATATAGAAACATACGGTATATACAAATCATTATTTGACCTCCACATATATTTTCTTATATATTATCATGTAATATACATACAGTGAGGAAAATAATGATTTGATCCCCTGCAGATTTTGTAAGTTTGCCCACTTACAAAGAAATGAAAGGTCTATCATTTTTTATCATAGGTGTATTATAGGTGTATTTTAATTGATAGAGACAGAATGTCAACCAAAAATCCAGAAACAAAAACACATAATACAAATGTTATAATTTGAGTTGCAGTTCAGTGAGTAAAATAAATATTTGATCCACTACCAACCAACAATAATTCTGGCTCCTCCCACAGACTGGCTATGTGGTACACAGATGAGTCCTGTCAATGTAAGAAGGTGCTCCTAATGACAACTCGTTATGTATATTAATGACACCTGTACACAGAATCTCTTTCTTCCATTCAAACCTCACCACCATGGGCAAGACCAAAGAGCTGTTTTCACCTGACACATGTGAATAAGGCAATGTAAGCATTGCTTGCGAGAATTGGAGCGTATAGGGGTAGCCATACGGTATATAATGAATGTTTTTAAAAGTCAGAAGCATTTGTTATAGCACACAGAATTTTCTAATGTGTGGCAAAATGGTGGTGCAAGTAGGTGCCATGACCTTGTGGCGCAGTATTTTATGAAAGGCTTATTGTTTTTTGTGCATCCCCTACCCCCTTGAAGTTCTTGGGTAAATACTTTTTTGGGACAAACCCCACCATCCTACCACATAAATTACAGTGTTCGGGCCTGGTGATACTGCGGAGTGGTACTGTCCGTCGCCTACCTCGTACAGCAACTGTTACCATAGTATCAAAAGAAAATATACACCAAGAAGAAGAAAATACATTAAAAAGAAAAGAGGAAAAGGAAAGGGAGAGGTGGGGAAGGTGGCCATATGCTACTTAAAGAAAAATTATTAATCCTTGCAGTGGGGCTATTGGGGCTACACCCGCACTGCAAGGATTAAGTGATTGTTTTTGTCTAGGTTTGAAAATAACAAAGTGAGCTTTGGTTCACGGGAAGAGATTAGTATATGTCCTCCCGTGACCCTTAGGAGAACTATAGGGAAAAGCCGGACCCCATAGTTCTCTTTTAAGTATGAAAATCTAATTTTAAAATGCTTTCACCCTTAAATTGGTATTTGAGTCCCTTGCCCTGCCTCCAGCCTTGCCAGTATAAATCAGGCTAGATGTTCTCCTTTCTCAGACAACCCTGTTCAGTAGCTATAGTAGGTGCGCAGAATTGAGAGCACAGGTGCGTTAGCTTACCCAGAAAGTAAAGAGAGCTGGCGATTTCATCCAGTAATCATCCTTGCAAAAATAAAATATTGTATTTTAACAGACCTACACATTTACAATCCTATACTCGTTGGGGAAACGATAGACATGCAGACAAAGGTCATCATTGGGTTCATTATTTTCCATTGCAAGATGCAGTGCTGTATTTGACCGGCTGAGTGGGATCACAAGGAAGCAGATAAACAAAATGACAAATGATGCTTTGTTAGATTGAGGTAGATTGCCAAATCCCCATGCTAACAGATCTGACTGCATTAGATAATGTTGGTTATAGACCTAGCACTACCCCATCATATTTCCCATGGATATAACAATTATTATTTTTTCTTCTCTTGTAATGAGACTAGGAAGAATATGCCTTTGTTCGTGCTGTGCCATTTCACTCCAATTTGAAGACCAGATAGGCACAGGAAAAATCAATAGACAATACACAAACACAAGAAGTCAGGTGTAGGAGAGCAAAGCAGCTCTGTTCTTAGTTGTAGCAAATTTTAAGCAGGGATGAATTGACAGGCTGTTCTTTAATCTCATTTCTCATCCTTTTTTTGTTTTTTTTTTTACTTGGTCCAGAGCTGTGCCCTTGTTCTCTTCAGGTTATGGTTAAGTGCCACATATATTGTACTCTTGATACCTTTGTGATGAGAGCTTGGGAAGATTAAAGGCTTTCTGGACGTCTTACAAGCGAGCACAATTGTCACTTTCCATCCATGCAGGGTTTTTCGATCTATGGTTTGTGGCCTTCTG